GTTGAGTTTCTGCGGGAGTAGCTGTGTCCCACCCGGCACGCAGCACGGCCAGCCTGCAGCATTTCTGTGGAGGCAGTGGCAAATGGAGAGCAGCAAAGCAGGCGGGCAGGGGTTGCTCGTTGTCCCTCCTGCTGGAGCTTCTCATCTGCCTCTGGGGGAACCTGGAAGGTGAAAAGGCTCCCGCTGTCCTTGGAGTGACCAAGGTCATTCCTGGGACCCAGAGCAGATGCCAGATGTCCCATGGCTCATGACCACAGCACCGCACGGCAATCAGCTGGAAAGATGGTCAAGCAGCATGGGCAAGGAAAGAGGGAAGACTACAGGGCAATGCCCGCAGAGGGGCAGAGGAGGAAGATCTCTTCATGAGGGGCCTTCACAGTCAGGTTTTCAGACCCTGGAGGTATGGGAGGACTAGGTGAGATGAGGACTTGGGCTGTCTGAGCTGCCCAAATGGCATCTTGGTTCTGCATCAGGGTAGCGTGGTCTCCCCATGGGGCCTCCGCGGTGCCCCCAGACATCCCTCCCCAGCCCTCCATGGACAGATTGTGTTTGTTTCAGCTCAGCGCGCTCATTAGATTAAAGTGGAAGAGTCGATCTGATCAAACTTGGAAACAAAAATAAACGTGCTGGGTTCAGCAGATGGAGGGAACAGTCTGGCAAGTCGGGCGAGCCCTGGCAGTGCCCCGCAGCAAACACAGCAGCTGTGTCGCAGCAGCCCCCTCAGACACATCTTCCCCGCACCGGTGTGCACAGTTCTGGCCCAGTGGGATCCCAGCTGTGGCCTCAGAAGGGGGCTGTGGGTGATGGGGTGTGCGCTGGGCCCAGTGCAGGCATGAGGTTTTTCCTCCAGCACTCGCAGCTGCATGCTGTGGAGGGGTTCCGACTCACACCTTTCTTTTCCCTGTTTTGCTGTCCCACCACTTTGCATCTCCTGAGCCCCCTTGGCTATGCGTGAGCCCAGTGCACTGCTGCTGCTGGCCCCAGGTAGCCTGTGCTGGGGATCCCAGGACACCCACCACTCCCACAAGCTTTTACCAGGGGCACAGATTTGCTGTGTGCTTCCATTGTAAACTGCAGCAGTGCAAACAATTATTCTTGATCTCAAAGGATTGTGCTGGGAACAGAGATGAATGAACCTATGTGCTATAGTACAGCTGCCAGATGAACATTTTATGGGGTGTTTACTTTGCTTATGCGATGCTGAAGTACCTCTGGAGTTCAAGCACTGCTGAAACACATCTCCTCTGTTCATTACACATCTCATCTGCTCATTAACACCCATACCCAGCCAGGCCCACAAAATAAGCAGCAATGCCTCTCCTCTGGGGACCTGATGCATGCTGTCTTAGCAGAGAAAGCCCCCTCCAGTAGGGCAGAGGAGTCAGGGGGAGTCTTACCCTCAAGCCCTGCCCTCGTCCTTTCCTGGATCTCACCTCCAGGCTGGTGGCACTAAGAGCCTTCCTGGCAGTGTCCTGCCCTGCATTCCCGTGAGCTCCCCAGCACTGAGGGGGTGACTACGCAACCAAGGGCTCAGCCAGCAGAAGGGAAACTGCTTCTGCTGGAGACATCCCTGGTCTGTCTCAGCTGGGATATTCCCATGTATTTTGCCCCTTACGTTTGGAGTCGACTGACCCCCAATTACTTCCCTGCTCCGCCAGCCCAGTGAGGGCTGCTTGTGCCTAGACCTTCTTAGTTAAATCTCTGATGGGTTTTGCCCAAATGGGGGGGGGGGGCTCCCACTGCCTTGTGCCTGGGGGTGGCATATATATCCAGGTATATCTCCTCAGGGTGCACAGTGGAGATCTGCCCAGGGTGGAGACACTGCTCCAGCGTGACTGTCCCTGAAAGTAGGTCCTGCTCTATTTGCATGCTAGAGGACCAGGCTCCCACACTGATACTACAGAATGGATTTTACACCCTTTTTGGCGGATTTGAGCTGTATTTAAGAGAGAGCTCCTGGCAGCAGTGATCCCAGGAGCTCTACTCAGATCATGATCTGGTGGTTCTCTGTTAAGTGCATCTTGCTGCCCAGAGTGGGCTGCTGATGAACCAGAGTGGTTTGTGGGGAATGGTTCTGCACAGACCATGTACCTTCTTATCCATAACCCCCTTGCCTCTGAGATGGATGCACTTGGGGTTGCTCTGGGTTGCAGCCAGCTTGTGTGCTGCATAATGAGGCTAAAAGTGTGGGAGCTGGGAGATGCAAACTCTATTCCTGGGTCTTCTGTTTGCTCCCTGATATCTCCTGGGCAAGACATTACTCCTCTGTGCCTTGTGATACCTAATTGCAAGGCAGTTGTAAGGATCATGAGACATACTGGGGATGGTGTTGTGCAGTGGTGGGAGCTGTAGCGTGGTGGAGCATTTACAGCAGAAGCAATACAACCCCTCTCTGCAGAGTGGTGGGACAACCTGGGCCAGCCCAATGCCATTGGCCCCAACCTACTGGGAAACGATGGGGCTGGGATGAATACCTCTTCTTGAGCTTCTCTAGGAAACATCCCTACTGGCAAATACTTCTGGGTTTGCAGATCTCCTCATGGGTCTGCAAATACTTGGGGTTATCCAGGACACTGAAGCAAACTGTTTTTTAAAGAAAAGCAAGACTGCAGGTCAGAACTATACTTTGCATTGTAACAGGTGGCCTGCTTGGGATCAGGCAATCACATCTGCTTGCAATTTCAGCTGGGTTATAGAGTCAATAGAGAATGAAATGACTTGGGAGACAGCTGGACAGGAGGACTCTGATTATTGCTTGGTACTGAGGGAACAAGAATTGAAAACTAGGGAGCTGCCTTGATCCTGACAAAAATGGAGGTGAAGCATGGGGAGACTCATCCCTGGGCTGTGCCAGGAGGGTGTGGAGGTGCTGTGGAGGTGACCAGGTGCTAGGCAGGGAGGCTGGTACAGCAGTTTGCATTTTCTAATGGGCCTGGGAGCAAATAACTGCAGCGTTGAAGGTAGGAGGTGGAAAGTCATAATGCTGGGGGAGACGGAGCTGTGACCTCCCCTGTCTGCCCATACCACCACAGGCAGAACCCCCTGCCCCATGGATGGGACTTATCTCCAGGCTGCTGAGCAGTTTGACTGCTGGCCACAGCTCCTCTTTTCAGGGGTGGCCTCTGTCTGCTGTATCCTGGAACAAAGAAGGAAGTTTTGAACTCTCTTCTGTCTTATTAACTCAATTTGTACTTTTATATACAAATGTCTTTCTCCCCTCTTGCCAAGAAAGCTGTCTGATCAGCAGCAATTAACAAAGCAAACTGCAGTGATGACTTTTATAGCGTGTTCTGTGTGGCCTTGCTGAATGCCCTCAAGAAGAAGATGCCAGAAGTTTGGGAATTTCTGCTGTGCAAAGGCAGGGCCAGGACATGACCATGTGCAGAGGGAGGGGCTGTGCTGGGCAGGCAGTCGTGGTCACTGGTCTCTCTTGGCCTCATGCTGCTGAGCTGTGCCTGGGGCAGGCCTCCATAAGCGTAGCATCTGCAGGCATCCTAACGCCAGCTGGAGGATGCAGGACCAACGCTGGCTGCAGGGTCTCTCACCAGGACTGGGAAACGTAGAGCTCAGCAGGGATTGTGCCTCCTGAGTTGCATGGGTCCTGCAGGCACCTGTGGCACCCCAGGCGCTTTCAGTGGTTTGATCTATGCCCTCCCTGTCTTGCTGCTGTTCAGGAGTAAATCCAGGAAAATGCTGGACTGCTTTTCCATCCATCATTGATGATTCTCTTTTCATTTGCTTTTTGGGCTTCACCCTCTTAATCCAGCTGTCTCTTGCCTTACAAATGTTCTTTCCTCAATTACTTATACCAAGCTGCAGGGCTGTTTCGGTTCGTCTCAGGAGCACGATGAAGCTTTGCTGTCCTGCAGGCACAAGCCTAGTGTGGGAACAGATCGCCCACCTCTGCCTTCATCAGAAGCTTCATCATTATTCCCTCCCTCCCAAGAAGTGCAGATGCAGGGTTATGTCTCAAGGCAAAAGGAAGAAAAGTCCCAGCTTGGAGCTGAACTGCAGTCCGTGCTGGGAGGTGCCAGATGCCCTTACAGAAAGGAGGGACTATGGGGAGAGATCCCTCCCCACTCCAAGATGGGGAGGGATGGTGGGGACTGTGCCATCCTTGTTCCCACTTGGAATTTCAGGATGCTGGTATGAAATACGAGCTTTGTGAGCAATCCTGACTTCTTTGCCTCACCCTCCTTAGAACTCCTCCACCTCCTGCACTGAGGCATGGAAACACAGGTCTGGTCTTTCTAGCCAGCTCTGATGTGCAACTTCCCAGACAGGGGACCAGTTCAGGCCATTCCTGCACCAAGGCTGCTTTATCCCCACTTCATAATGCTCTTATCTTGAAGGCTCTGCTCAGATTAAAGCCCAGGCAGTCAGTCCCCTCCCTAGATGTTTTGCAATGAAGTTTTCTTCCTTTAATCCGATGAGAGTGTAAGCTGCTCTTTTCAAAGTGCACAGATGTACATGTCACTGGTATGGTGAACTAGACTGACTGAGGGCAGAGGGAGGGTGCCCTGTGCTTCAGCTTGGTGGCACTTGTGGCTGTTGTCACATTTCTCCTCCAGGCCTCCGGGAGCAGCTGTGTAATGCCCAAGTCCACCAGCAGTCATAAAGGCTAAAGGCTCACATGGGATCAGGATGAGTTGTTCAACAGACGAGTCTGTTGACCTTCCCGGACACCTTCAAAAAGCTAAATCCCAATTTTGGTCTCAGACAGCCATGGAGGTCCTAGAATCAGGGGAATGGTGCTGGCCATTTCAGTGGGAACCCAAGGGTGGAAACCTCAGCAGCTGTTTAGGTGGTGTCCGAGGACGTGGCCTTAGCTGTGTGACTGTCACCTAGCCATGGTGGGCTGTTTTTTCTCAGTGAGCTCGTGAGTCCATGGCCATGAGTGGGCTGTGGGAAGGCTCGGGAAGATGGTTCTCTTGCAGCGGGGAAGGGACTGGAGTTAATCCACGCCTTCCTGAACTTACAGCTGTCTTTGTCCTCCTCAGCCCAAGGAGCATTGTCAAACAGCTGCCGCCTGGCTCTGCCTGCCCCACAGCCAGTGCATGGACCAGCAACATCCTCCAGCTCATGCATGACAGCAGTACACTGGCAGAAGAGGCACCTCAGACAGCAACGCTCAGACTGTGAGTGCTCTGGGCACCATGGGCGGTGCAGGACCCTGGGGTCATGATTCTGCTCCTGCATGGAGTGTCCCTGGGGTGAAAGGGGACAGGAGCCTGTGGGTCTGGGGAAGCTGTGGGGTCCTTTTTTCCCATGGGGACGGTCCAGCATGCAGAGCTGAGCTGCTGCGAGATGTGGGCATGGCCTCAGCAGCCTGGAGTGAGCAGATAACTTGGGCACAGGGTGGCCCAAGGACTCTGTTACTGATGGGCGAGGGGGGAGAAGGAAGAGCTGTGATCCTCTGAGCAAGCCAAAGGAGGAGGTTGTTGCAAGGGAAGGCTGAAATTGCCTTCAAGCCACTGCTTTGCCATGTGGAACAAGCTCAGTATGTCTGTGCATGGATGCAAAGCCAGGTACTGCTGCATATTTGCTGAGAAAGATTGTCCAGTTCTGCAGCCCTCTCAAACACATGGAAAGCCTGTATTTCTCCCCCATGGAGAGAGATGAACTCGTGCCAAGGACAGTGCTCTGGATTTAAGGAGTGTTGTCGCAGCTGCTGGGGTCCGTTGGGAAGGAACTTGTTCTGGAAGCAGCAGACACTTGAGAGGTGGTAAATAGGCATGGTAAACCTATGGAGGAATTAATCACATGCCTCTCCTGCATCAGGAGCAATGTCTTGCCATGTTCTGGGGTGTGACACCAGCAGCTCAGACAAGCCCTAGTTTTCAAAAGGTCTTACTTTGGCCTCCCAAAAGGAGATGGTCATAAAATCCAGTAATCACCTTGAATATGTTAGGAGTCTGGTTCGATTCTCCTTCACAGCCCTGCAGCCTCAGTCAACAGAGCAACTAAGGGACGCCAAGGGGTGGTCGAATGGTAGACAGTGCATAGGCTGGTGTGAGTGCTCTGTCCTGGCCCTGACACTGTTTGGAAGCAAATAACTGTTTCTCCAAAGATCACATACTATGAGGAAGCTCCTGACCCTCACAGGACATGGCTTTCTCAGCAGTTACAGCAGCTCCTAAAATCCTTCCCTGAGCTGTTGTTGCAGAAAAAAATAAATAAATCCACGACACTTTATAAAACAAGTTGATCTTTTTGCCCGCCATCTAGGTCAATAAAAGAGCATCTTTGTAACCTTCTGGGGTCATTCAGAAAGAAGAGGCATGTGATTTTCTGCAAGCCCAGAGCTGACATATACGGAGATTTCTCTTTGAAATTAAGTCTTTGGCTGGTGGTGCAGACTTCAAGTAGATCTGAGGATGGGGTAGAGGTTGGGTATGTGTGCATTGAGGAAGGAGTCGTGCACCTGGCACGGCTGCTGTGTTGGGTTGTGGTTGTCACACACAACCCTATCCCCTTCTGTACTTCAGGAAAGACCTTCTCAAACCTTCCCACTGAATAACACATGCACAAACACAACCCATCCAACAAATTGAGCATGTGGTTTGGTGATGAGTGGGACTCAGCAAAGTTCTAGGTATCTCCTGCATGCTGTAGTGCTATGGACAAGGAAAGGCCAGAAGGAACTGAAATCTGATGGGCTTGGGTTCTTCTTGGATGTTACATGCAAAAGAATGGGTGAGATGGAGTCTGCTGTCTAACTTGGGAAGGAAACTGGCAAACCCACATCTGCACCAACCTGACTCTTGTGCCTGCATACTGGAGTCTTCCCCTGGTCTGCACTGGGTGGTGTCGTGCTGTGTCCCACACCTTTGGGAGGAACATGTGTCTCTTCTGTCTTGTCTGACTTTAAATACCGGGGAAACACCAAGGAAGTAAAAAAGGCAAGTCAGTCCCCAGCAGAGACCTGAGAGCAAATGGTCACGGTTCCTATGGGGCACAAAGGTGGATGGGTGCGTGGGGGGACAGTGATGTCCTTGAGGTAGGAGAAACTTCTGGGGTCACTCCTGGGCACTGGGATGCCTCCTCACTGGGCACACGGCTGGGACTGCCCCTCTCCCACAGGACCCATATGGCAACACTGGCCCTGGTCCCGGGCTGAAGGAGCAGTGAGCAGTGGCAGCAGGGACTTCCCCACTTCCCCACTCCCTGGTAATCACCCACCCGCCTCTTTATTCTAATTGCAGTTGTTTGATCTCTCTCTGGGTTCTCTCTCTCTTTTTTTTTTTTTTTTTTTTTTAATGTAGGAGACACATGTTTTGTTCCAAGCACTTAACTACCTCTTGGGCTGTGTTTCATTTATTCACTAGGATAGAAATCGGAGTTGTCAGGTTTGCTTTTTTATTTTTGCTGGTTTTTTGTTGTGTTTTTTTTTCCTTCTTTCTGCTCCTTCTCTATTTTGTAACGAAAGCGATAAAAATCCCTGCATACTCCAGCATGCCCAGCCCATCTCCTGGCCCCAGCTCCTCCTATGGCTTCGGAGCAGAGGAGCAGCAGTGGGGAGGAGCAGTCCTCCCGGGCAGGCTGCTGGCTCACATGGCTCCTTGGGAACTGGGAGGTTACTGGTGGTGCCAGTTCAGCTGCCACACTGCTGGGAGTTGCTGGGAGAATTTGTCTAGGGCTAGAGAGGTGGGTGCCTGTCTCCCTGCCTGCAAAGCAGCACTCCTGCTCTGGGTTTGGTGTCTCTGCCTCATCAACACCGTCCTTCTCAGTGAGCAGCCCGTCCTCCTGCTCGTCAGCCCCTGGCACCTTCCCTTACCAAGAGCCTGCACAAATACTTTGCACCTCCTGTGCTTGAAGTTCAGCAAGTTCTCGAGGCAGTGCTGGATGGCCCAGGGCCGTTCCCCACCTCGTGCAGCCATGCACACCTCTTCTCCCTGGCTCCACTGCAGGCTCTGCTGGGTGCAGCAGTGATCTCAGGGCAGCCTGGCTGTGGGCATGCATAGCGGCACTGCTGGATCAGCTTCCCACATCCTTTAACCTATGGCTAGGTAGCAGGTTGGCACCCAAGGCAAGAGTTTAGTGATGCAAGGTGGAGGGGACAGGGGGCGGGGGGCAGCAGTCAGCATCTACCTGTTGCTACAGCTGCCCGTCCCCCTGGGGAGGACACACAGCAGGGGCAGAACACAGTGGTGGGATGCAAGTACTGCATTGGCACAGCAACCCCTGAGTGCCTCTGCCCTCACGTGTTTGGGGGCTGGAAAGAAAGGCCCAGTCTCTCCTTGAGCCTCTCCCTGGCACAAAGGTGCCCCCATCACCAGGCCAGGCTGGGAGCCCTGGCTGGGTTTGCAGTGGGTTGTTTCCCACACTTGTGTGTGTGCCTGCTGCCAGCCCAGCTCCCTGTAGGCAACCCCTTGCGTGCCCACAGGTGGGGACAGAGCTGCAGAGCAAGACCTGGATCTGCTCTCGTCTCTGCTCACTCAGCCAAGGAGGCCAAACCCCTTGTGGCACTGGTCTGGGAGCAGCTGGGTCCTTCTGCAGGACTTTCACAGAATCACAGAATGGCCTGGGTTGAAAGGGACCTCAAAGACCAGTACCAACCCCCCTGCCATAGGGACGCCACCCACTAGCATCCACAACTTCTCTGGGCAACCCGTGCCAGTGCCTCACCACCCTCTGAGTGGAGAATTTCCTTCTAACCTCTAGCCTAAATCTCCCCTCTTTTAGTTTAAAACCATTCCCTCTCATCCTGTCATTATCTGATTGAGCAAAGAGTCACTCCCTGTGCTTCCTCAAATGCAGCAGGAGGTGGATGGAGGAGGATGGCATGGTGGCCATTTGCACTGTTGAACTGAACACCTGGCCCATACTCACTGGGTTTCCTCTTGAGAGAGGAATGTATTCCCCGAGCACATCTGTAACTGCACGTGGCTGAGGACCCATCCGTTCTCAAAGGGTCTGGCACAGCCCAGAGCAGTGGTGTTTCCCTAGTGGTGAGGGTTTGCTGGGAGGGGTGCTCTGAGCTGATGTTCAGCCTGGAGAAATGCTGGTGTAGGAGAAGGTGAATAAAATGGAGCCATGAAACATAGCACCTGACTTGCAGGCTCAAACTTGCAGTGGGTCCTTCTTTCAGAGAGAAGAGGTCTGTGATGTCTGGAAAGTCAACTTTCACATTTATACATTGAGAGTTTGTGAGATTGGTTTGTTTTTCACACTCTGAAGGCCACTGGTGGAGACAACTGTGCTCATTCTGGGAGCTTGCTTGCTTAGAGACTGAATAAAAGCAAAGAAAACACTTTAAGGCTTGGTGACTTAGTCACCAAGCACCCAGACCTCTGCATTTTCTGGCTGGCCCAGAAGTAGAGCACACTTTCTTCTGTGTAGAGAAGCACACAGACGCATGTTGGAGCTAATAAATGGAGATCTTACTAGTTGCCTGGCTACCTTGCTTGACAAACAGCAATCCAGACAGCCAATGGATTTGGGATGCGTGTAGATAAAAGAAAACTACAAAAAGACTGATGGACAGCAGTGCAGGTGGATGGATGGATGGATGGATGGATGAATATTTTGTTCTAAAAAGATGAGCTGAATAAATTCTGAGGTGAAGAAAGCCTATGGCTGTAGTGGGGAGGATGGGACTGGACAGGCAGATCTGCAGGCTAGCTTGAACAAGGGCAGATGGGTTGGGCAGCCTCCTGAACCTGCACATCCTGATGGTGCTTCTTATCAAAAGTCTTGGTGCACAAAATCCAGGATCTTGTCCTTCTCATGAAAGGGTTCCTGGTCCAAATGTAGCTCTCTGTAGAAAGCCACCTGCACACCTACTGAACCTCAGTTCCGTAGTGCTGCTGAACCCCCCCAAAGGCTTGTCACCTGCAGAAAATCTGCAGACACTTTCCCTGGACTTCCAGACTCTCAGTCCCTCAGCACCTGTGCTAGGGAGCACAAAACCAATCTCTCCTTGGCAAACGTTGAGTAAGTTAGCTCCCAAAAACTTGGCAATGGAGGAACTTGTACACCAGCAAACACAAGGATTGTTTTGCTGTGGATTCCCAAAAGATCTTCATAGCCAAGTAGTGCTGTGTGTCCTGAGAACTTGCTGTTCAAAGTGGGAGCTTGCAGTTGCAGATGAGCCCTTCCATGTATTTCTAGGTAAGGACCGTGGGTCTGCTCTTCG